TCAAACAAATTCTGGAACTTATGTTGTCGAAAAGCATTACTTTTTTCCTATTTTTAAGGTAAAGGCCATTTCATTGTTTTTGCTTTCCAAATTCTACCCATTGTACACAGCTGCAGTGGGAATCTCTATGATATCCAATGCCATGCTGACTGGATCATTGACATCCCATGCCCAAGAATCCTTCTATTGCATGTCTAAGCAGAATCATAGAATCATTTAGATTGGAAAAGACCTCTAAGATCAAGTCCAACCATCAACACATCCCCACCATGCCCACTAACCATGTCCCTTGGTGCCACATTGACACAGTTCTTGGACACTCCCAAGGATGGTGATTCCACAACTTCCATGGGCAGCCTGTTCCAATGCATTATCACTTCTTCAGAGAACAAATTTTTCCTAATATCCAACCTGAACCTCCCCTGGCATAACCTAAGGCCATTATTTCTTGTTATCTGATGAGAGCAGGTGGCTTTCCTAATGGCAAAAATTGTCACTGGGATGTGGTGATGGAGTGAAACGCCAGTGGCATGCAAAGAAGCAGAAGAGCTGATTCCTTTGACAGTCAATTCCTTGGGGCAGCGACCAGTGTGCTGCTTTGTCTGTAGATGCCATCACCACCTGCTCCTGGTGTAGGTGTGTTTGATATTACTGTAAAAGAGGTTATTGGTTGTCATCGTTATCTTTCCATATTTTGTCTGTATCCGTCCAAAGTATCTTTCTTATCCTTGAGTACCATAAACAAGCCCAAATAAACAAAAAATAAAGTACCAAATAAACATGAAAAGCAGCATGTTTGAGATGCTGAGGAAGGTTTCTACACTGTTCTAGGACAGTTTTGGTGCCCACTCAAAAGATCCCAAAGCAGAGCTGGGTGGGATCAGGGCCACCAGCCATTCCCAGAACCTTCCATGCATCTGCAGCCCTGCAATGCCACCTTCAGGCTGGTAGCAGCCTCACTCCTTCCACTAATCCTAGATATCACCCTAAACCCCAAAAACACACAGCAAAATCAATGCTGGCTGCTCTCAGTAACATTCAAAAGGCTTTTAAGGCAGTAAATGAACACAGAATTTTTTTTAATAAGTACACAAACTTAACTTTGATGAGTGCTTTTAGTTCTGCACTGTCCAAAAAACCCTTTTTATTTCTGACAACAAGGAAAGCTCAGGTTTCTTCATGAAATATGTGTGTAAAAACGTTTCTGCTGGACACTTTAAAAATACTTGGTAACGGTGGGTTTGGAATAGAGGTTTCCAGGCTTCCAGGATCTCTGGTGGAAAATCTCCCTCAGCTTGGAGAACAGGGAGCTGCGATCACAAAACAGCATGGGTAACGCATCCTCACATCAATCAGAACAACAATGTAGGTCTCCTGGCTCAAGCCTGCTGAAAGCAGGGCCAGCTCAATGAGGCTGCTCAGGCTTTGGCTCTTCACCTCATGAATGTGCCCCTGTAATCCCTCTGCCTCAACCTCTGCAATCCTACTGACTCCCCAGCACAGCGTCACCCAGCACAGACACGGGTAATGCTGCCACTTACCGTGCAGCAGCACTCACTGGGCTGCGTCTGGTGAAACCTCACTCTGGGAAGGCAGCCCTTGGGGCTTCAAGGCAGAGCCAAGCTCTGCAGTGTGGCCTTGAGATGCCCAGTTCAGCTTCTGCAAGTAAATGCTGTAGTTGTCCTTGTACTCAGACACCCAGTGGTTCCTGCGGTGAACATGGAGAAGGTAATGAGGATTGAGTACTGTCACAGGGACCAGTCACCCACCTAGGTCAACCATTGCACCAGCTCCATCTGCAGCCCACACCTATATCTGAGATCATGAATCAAAATCAGGACTTCAGTGTACATCTGCAATATATATATGCTAGGGGGAGGTGAGGGGATGAGGCAGCGGGGAGGAATTACCTTTCCAGGTGAGAAATCAGAGCTCAGGAGCAGTTTATGCCTGTTTGTTCATAGTGTGCAGATGAGTCACCTCACAAACAGCTCCTGCCCTGTCTGATCCAAGAGCTTCCTTTCCCAGGAGAAGCCCAGGCACCGAAATGCTGAGATGTGCCCTCCTGTGCCCATCCCACAGGGACCTCAGTTCCTACTTCCTGAGGGGAATTGTCAATGGTTGCCCCAGGAAAAGCTTCCCAGATCACACCAACCCCACTATAAAACTTCTCAAGAAAAGGTTGAGCCTTGTGAAAGGCCGTGGCCCTAAGGGAATTCATTTGAACACATTGCATAATGTAGACGTGGAGAAATACACTTGAGAAACACCTTCCAACCCCAACCAGCTCCAAAACCACGCTTTTCTAGTCTGACCCTGTCCCCACTCCCAACCCATTCCCCCAGCCCAGCTTTCCCTTACTGGTGGAAGCGTTCATCTTCAGTGAAAATGTGAGATAGATTCTTATTTGCTACACAGCTTCCAGTGCAGGCTGCAGGCTGGTGCTGGAAGTCGGTGCTGTAGGTACTTCTGCAGTCATGGTCACAGCACTCTAGTGAAGGAGAGTACAAATAATCAAGAGGTCACAGTGGATTGGGATCTGAGCACCTGATCTGGCTGAAGATGCCCCTGTTCGCTGCAGGAGAGTTGGACTTGATGGCCTTTCAAAGTCCCTCCCAACTCAAACGATTCTATAATTCTATTCTGGGGAGGTCTCTATCCCCTGCATCCTGCAGTCCAACCATTCCCCCTCCTCCTGAGCTCCTTCAGCACTTCATGCTCTTAGCACTCCCATTGGAGCTACCATGACCATGAGTTAACCAAGGGAAAATGCAAGTGATTCCTTGGTAGGGATGGAGATATTTTAGCACTCATTTCCTATGGCCTCTTAAGTATGATGGAAGTCACACAAGGTGTCTTGTCCCCTGTGGACATTGACTGGTGTGCTGCAATGTATTTTCTCCTGCTGTCTACATTTTCCTCTTTTATCATGCCAGAGCAACACATCTTTGCCTTACTTCATCAGAAGTAAAACAAGGATGAGTTCCTTTGCAGAAAAACAAAAAATACTCCACAGCCCATCTTGTGCAACGTTACTACAAGAGGATGCATGGACACCGATGTGTGGCTGAACTGGGTGTTCATGCAGGGCTCTTTCCTCATTTCCTTTTGTGTCTTTGGTGCATGGAAATAAGTGCACGAGTGACCCCAAATAAAACCAGTGACTTTGTGGTAAAAACATGCTCCCTGTCTGCAGGCTGTAGATCTGCTGCCAGAAGCTGCTCTTAGTGCAGAAACCACAGAAATCTGGAGATGGGACAGCAGCTCAGCCCCACGCCAGGGGGGATGCATGCAGGGAGGGCAGCCCCCAGGTGAGGATCATCACATCTGCTCTGCTTTTGTCCCCCAAAAATCCTTGCAGGAGCTGGCTTGAAGGGCTGTCATGTGCTCTCCTTCACGTGTGTCCCTCTGACCAAATGGACCTGCCTACAGAAAACGTTCTGTCAGCGCTCACAGCAAAGCAGTGAGAATGCACACATACATACCCACCAACTTCAGCTGCACCACCTGGAGTGGCCCATACGAAAATGGGGATGGAAGAGATGTTATTTACGATGCTCCAACCTTTTCTGGATGAAAATTATTTTCCCTGCCCTACTTCTTCCCACCAACAGGTGGATGGCTGTGGGGATCCTGCAGGCATTTCCCACTGTATTTACTTCACCTCCTTCATTCACTTCCTGCATTAAATTCAAGAAGCCCAAGGTCAGGCTGAAGTCATCTGCCACAGCCTCCACCCACTGACCTTCCACCAAAACCGACGAGGACAGGGCCACATTCTTGTTTTGCTGAGCCTCATCTCGCAGGGCCTGGCCTGTCTCCAGCATGAAGTGCTGGTAGGTACCCCAGGTGGGATCCAACTTCTGCCTATACAGCAACATCCCTGAGAAATGAGAGAAGACAACAGTGCATTAGATAGAAAAATCTATCAATTACCCAAATCCTGCCCTCAGGTGGGAGCAAGCAAATAACAACGGCAACTTGGAGCCTCAGCTGGTATAAATCAAGGGAAGACTCATCCCCTTCAGCAGAGCTTTGCTGAGTTGCATCAATTTGGAATTGATTTGGTTCACAAAGCCAATGGGGGAAAGATTTATGGTGATGTGAAGTGAGTGGAAGGAGCCATGCTGTCTCCATGGCACTCCGGAGTGCTAAAAGGAGCTGAGACCCTTTGCAGGTAATTGTATGAGAGACTTTGCAAGAAATACAGCACTGCTGGACTATAGAGGGGTAGAGCAAGAAGGAAAAAGCCCACAGTAGTTGTGTTACTAGCACAATACAGTGTAAGATGGGCTCAGCAAGGAGATGCTTGAAGCCTTCACTTGTTAAGAGACATCTTTAAATGGTTATCTGTCCAAATGGAGACATGTCCATCTGAGCTACTTATCCCAGCTCTCCTTCTAGTGCATGGAGAAAGGGAAGTCCTGCCAGGATTCACTCTATTTCATGCTCTGTCCTTGCAGATATTCAAAGACAAGCCGGATGGGGCTCTGAGCACCTGCTGGAGCTGTATTTGTCCCTCTTCTTTGCAGGGGAGATGGACCAGATGACCTTTAAGGGTCCCTCCCAGCTCAATTCTATGATTCTAGGATCTTCATGGCAGCATTTAGGCTACAATAACTATCTGTGGCTTTTCTCCCCATTGACCATGAGGAGAGTTGAGAGCTCCAAACAGACATCCTATGGTGCAAGATGGGAATTCGGAGAGGACATCCTACCCATATCCCCCTGCTTGGTGCTGGAGAATGGCTGAGCAGTGCTGCCCTCCTCCCTTCTACCTTGGAACTTAGAGGAAGCTCTCCAGTGCTCTTTGAAGATCAAGCACGGATGGTGAGCACTGATTTTGTTTTTCTGATGTGCTAGCAAGGATTTGTATTAGCATTTTAACCCACACAAGCAGGCCATGAGCCTGCTACCCTGCTAAGCCAATCTGCAGCCCATTGGTGCCCAGCCAGCCTGGGGCAGGGGGACTTGGGATAGCACAGCCCAGCAGACAGCTGTCAGATGCTGGATCTGCCTGGCACCAGCTGAGTGGGATTACCTGTTGCTCCTGGGCCACCAACAGCAGCTTGAAGGTGCTGGGAAGAAGACAGTTCCTTTTCCAGCCCACTGAAAGCCTGTGGCTTCTCTGGTCTGTCCGCCTGGGTTGCTGTCAGTTCAGTGGTGAGGTACTGCTTTGGTGCATGGCTTTCTGCAAGGGGGAGGTCTGAACTGAAGTGCTTTCTCTGCTCTTCATGAGCCTGCTGCAGCACACTGGGACTGAGGTCAATGCCTTCTTGCTTCTCACTTTGTGTGACATCTCTCCCTTCCCCGAGAGCTTTGTCATAGTATGGCATTGCCTGTGGCTCTTGGGGCACGGCAAACTCCTTGGCTCTGAGCTTCTGCAGAAAGAAGTCATGTGTGAGTAGAGACGTGGTGAGGAGGACAATTACTAAAGCATCACTAAACACTGCTACCTGCCCACAGGGACACCGCAGCCACAAAGAAGCCACACAAGTATCATTAAATAATGCACAGAATATTAAGGCTGCCTCTTTCTTAGAATTATGCAATGGCTTAAGTTGGAAGGGACCTTAAAGATCATCTGCTTCCAACCCCCCTGCCGTAGGCTGGTTACCACCCCCCAGACCAGGCTGCCCAGGGCCCCATCCAACCTGGCACTGAATGCCTCCAAGGACAGCTCCTCTGGGCAGCCTGTGCCAGACCCTCCACCCTCTGAGTAAAGAATTCCTTCCTAACATCTAACCTAAATTTCCCCTCTTTTTGTTTAAAGCCATTCCCCTTTGTCCTGTCACTATTAGATCATATAAATAGTCGCTCCCCTCCTGCTTATAAGCTCCCTACAAGTACAGGGAGGTCTCTCTGAAGCCTTCTCCAGGCTGAACAAGCCCAACTCTCTCAATCTTTCTTCATAGGAGAGGTGCTCCAGCCCTTAGATGGTCTTCATGTCTTCTTCTTTCTGTCTTCTTATGGCTTGCTGGGCACTGAGACCACCTGCAACAGGACAGCACAAAGCCCAGATCTCTCTGGTTGTGGCCTCAATCCACAGCTGATTTCATGTTGGGATTTTCTGGCTGGTCACTCTTGCCCACTTTTTTTTCCATCTTCCTCTGTCTTTCCATCTTTCCTTGTCTTTCCATGGTGGATGAGCACATCCCTAGGCAATGAGCAGAGCAGGAGGATGGAAGAGGCAATGACCTGACTGCAGGGTGCCAGCTCCTCAACCATTAGCAATGATAACACAACCCATGAAGCAGGGAAGGAAGGCTGCTGATCTTTCCAGCAGAAGGGACAGATCCGTACAAGGATTCATGGCAGGGGAAGGCTGAGGTGGCAGCTGGCACAGCTGCTCAGGGAATCTGCCAGCTTCAGCATCTTTCCAGCTGCATGCTACAGCTCTGTGTGGAGCCAACTGATCCTTGCTAAAGGCTCAGCCAAAGAAACTTCTGCTCTGCCAGGACCATGTTTTGTCTATCAGCTATCTGTGACTTCTTGCTTTGGACCTCAACAAGTTTCCCTTTGTCCTTTGGCCTCATAAATCCTTGCTGTCACTCAGTCCAAGGTGACTTCCTCACCATGCCTAGATCAGGGCAAGGGGAGACTGCTGATCTATGGGGACCACCTGTATTTGGGAGTTTCCTCCCACAAGGATGGCAAGAGCTCCTCATGAGGCATCGCTGGAGGGACAAGAGCCTCTGGAGACCTATGGTGGGGGTGACAGAGCAGATGGTGCTTTCTGTCTTAACCCAAGGATGTCTTCAGCTTCCAGCAGGACATCACCCCACATTTCACACAGAAAATCCCCCAGGTGGTTTTATCCACTTAACAAAAGCAAAAGCAAAACTTGGGCTTCCCAAGGACCTCATTGGCGCTTGGCCCAGTGGAACAGCTTTCCTTGCAAGTTAATAGAGGGTCAATGAAGAGTCAATGGGAGATGCAACCCAATGAAAGCAGTCACATCTCAGTTGTTTCCTCCCTCCAACTCCACGAGGACTTCCACATAATACATACAGCCTTCCAAAGTTGTCAAGAAAAATAGTAATAATAAAAGAAGTTGAGGTGCGTGGATTGGGCACCACGACCGCTTCTCACCATGCCGCAGCAGGCAGGGGTTAACCCTGCCCTCCTGGAGGCCACCTGAGGCTTGGGCTTTCCGGGAAGCACTCGCCAGCCCAGCAGAGCCCCACTAATGAAGGCTGCTGGCAGCAGGAGTGCTCCCAAGGGCAGGAGGAGGGGAGCTGGCAGCCGGGAAACAGGGGAGGAAAGGAGAGGGCCAAGGACGGCAGTGCAGCCAGAGCCTGACGTGCAGGATGAGAGCCACCACCACCCTCCTGCACAGACAGCCCCAGCGGGCACCTTCACACAATGATTCCTCTGTTGTTGCCCACTCTCCCTCCCCAGCCCAAATGCTTTTTTTTCCCTCTCTCTCTTGAGCGAATGAGCCCAAAGTGCTTTAGCAAGCGAACATGCCCCCCACCACTTCTCGGCAGTGGCCCGGTGCAAACCACAGCTGTCCCCACTGGGCTGCCACAAGCAATTAGGGCAGGGCAGGCGGAGCGCGGCAAATCAGATTAAATAGCTCAGGGGGTCACTTGCACCGCCAGGGGATTAGAAAGAAAACAACGTAAGCTTCCCCGCAGAAGCCTTCGCAGGCCCGTGTCGGGGCACGGAGACATCTCCATCCCTAATGCAATCCCCCTTCTAAAGGCAGCACTGGGATGGATCTGATCCTGATCACTCCATCGGCCCCACAGGAAGCAATAGGAGTCCAAGGCTTAGGTGCGGTTCAGCATGCAGCCGTTAATGCCCTGGCTTAATGAGTGTAATTAGCACAGCCCGCCCAAATGCGTTCACTGGAGGGCACAAGGGGGATTTCCCACAGAAGGGATGGGGACAGAGGCCTTGGGTATTTGGGGACGATGGAACTGCTGGTGGGTCACAGCAGTAGGGACAAAAGTGAACCAAAGGGACTCACACATCTGCACGCACCCAATCTCAGGCCCGCCCAGTCCCTGGCTGTCCCATAGCCAAGAGCTGGGAGCTGGCACCAAAGGGCATGGAGAAAAGCAAGGAAGTGCCCACAGTACCTTCACGTCCTCCTCAGTGGGTGGTTTGTTTTCCTCATGCCATTTGTACTCCTTCTTGTACATGCTCCTGTACATACCCAGCGACACAGGCGGCTGAAAGGAGAGGAAGCAAACAAAAGGGTACTGCTATGGCTTGGTCACCTTCTGTCACCTAGAGGTGGTGACAGAAACACAGAATCATAGAATCATTGAAATTGGTAAAGACCTCCAAGATCATCTAGCCCAACCACCAGCCCAACCCTACCATGCCCACTAACCCACGTCCCTCACTGCCACATCTCTGCAGTTCTTGAACACCTCCAGGGATGGTGACTTCGCCACCTCCCTGGCAGCTGTGCCAATGCATTACCTCTTCTTCAGAGAAGATATTTTTCCTTATATCCAACCTGAACCTCCCCTGCCTACTTATGCTTAGAGGAGGACAAACTGCTCTCCTGAATGCAATCTGTGTCTCTTGGGATCAGTCCAACAGGGGAAGCCCTCGCTTAGTTAAACCTCAAGAAGGGTGACCAGGAAGGTCCAAGATCTTTTGGCAAGAACCTTTCAGGTTCTTCTAGTCCCAGGAAGACCACCATAGTGCCTTTCTCAAACCTCCCTGGACGGCTCAGGGCACAAGTATAGAGATGCTCAATGCACAAGCATAAAGCTGCTAATATACTTTCATCACTGCTGAGGTCCAGTGTCACACAGGTTACACCTGTGTGACATCTCACATCCATCTCACATTTCAGTACTTCTTGTGTGCTCCTCACATCTTTAAAGTCAAGCACTGGCAAATGTCAATATATATTTTGTAAAGCAACTGGAGAAATTATGGAGGAAAATTCCACCAAGGGATATTAAGGCTGCAACACCAGCCTGGAGACCAAAAACAAATGCAGTGTAAACTTCTAGGGACGTGCAGAGGACTTTAGGGAGGAAGCACTATGTGCTCATCCTGTTTCCCGTGCTCTCCCCTTGGCATCTGCCACAGCTCACTGCTGGAGACAGGAAAGCGGGTGAGATGAGCCTTCAGGCTCACTTTGGTGCTTTGGACAAAGTTGAAATACTTAAAGCACCTACTGAGATAAAAGGAACCAATAACTGTGCCAGCACACAGCATCTTAAGAAGGTTCCTTGTGCCTTGCCAGCAGTGTCATTCATTATGTGCAAGAACATATTCTATATCCTCATTACTCTATTCCAGCATTTCACTCATTTCTCCCTCCGGGCTTCCCAGACGAGTGGCTGCCTTTGGCCAGGACCCAGAAGCCTGTTGTCACCAGCTCCTCTTATCTTCCCAACCTGGCAGACTGCAATTCCATTACTCAAACTCCAGGGAGGGAGGGAACCCCTTTTGTTTTTCACCTTCGAATGCACTGGTTTCCTCATTGCATCCTCTGTGGTGAACCAGGAACCTGGACCAGAAGTCATTCCGTCAACAGCTGGCATACCAGATCTTCTCCTCCCCACTGCCCCAAGAGGCAAGGGATCTAGAGATTTGGTGTGGGTCCTGGAAGGAAAAAGGGGATTCAGATGTGGCTGTAGGACCCCTGTGTACCCCAAACCAGTGTTTGGAGTATGACTGACATCATACAATCTCAGCGATGCAAAGTGTGCACATCCAGCAACGAGCACCTATGGAGCCAGACAGCTCAGGAGATGAAGCTTGGCAGGACCCAGCAGAGACGAGATGACAGCACCTCACCACCAGCTGCCAAAAAGGAGAGAGGTGAACCTCCGTGTCCCTTCCCAGGACAGGAGAAGCGCCTTGGTATGTGCACGGTGGGATATGTTTGGTGGCAGCAGGGTTTCCATGGAGAAGGGAAACCTCCTGCGCCTTGTGAGACACCTGCAATCTAGAACACTGGAGGCCTTGGTGGGAGGGGACCTTACCCCATGATGTGTGGGATGAGGGCTTCTTGGGGAGAAGCCACCTCAAGGCAAACACGGGGAGCTGCTACCTGCTCCTTCAGCTAAAGCTGGGAACACGGGAGAGGGGCAAAGCCCCTTTCTGAGCCCTTGAGGGGGGGCAGTCTTCTGTCCCATATCCACAAAGCAGTAATTACTCTTTCATAAACATCAAGCATTAACTACCTTTGGATCCATCTCAGCCAAGACTAATTTCAACTCATTTTAGATGTCTACAAAGAGGATGTCTCCCTCTGAGCTGAACCTTCCTGGCCTCCTGGCTCATTTAGCCTGATTCATGTGACCAGTGGAGACACATATTTTGGGAAGAAATAAACTGCTTTCTCGGAAAGCATAGGTTTGGTCAGCTGAATCTCATCCAAGAGTCCAATTTCTGTAGCCACATTTGAGCCTGGATATCAGAGCAGAAAGGAGATTCTCCTGCACTGCAGTTAATGCAGATAGTGGTAAATGCCAGTGATGATGCATGAGTCAGAAAGACAACATCTCGGCTCCAGGATCCTGGTCTGACTTTACTGAAAAGCAGTGAAAAGCAGTTTCTTCGGAAGGATGTGGAGAGGGCCCTGGCCTATGGGAGCTGATTTCTGAAGGGTTTCTGATTCCCCACACTGGGACAGAAAATCCCTTTTTGCTCTGCACTCATAGCACACTGGATACAGAGCAAAGCAGTCATGGAGCTGGTTTCACAGGCACCATTGGAATGAGCTGAATTCCAGAGCTGTTACTATTTTCACCCCGTTATGCATCAGTGCATAACCGGAGCCCAAGGATGCCAATGCCAGAGCCACATGTTGCTGGCACCTCAGCACGGAGCCAGGCAGAAGGAGAAGCCCTTCATCCCTGTTGTATTTTATGCAAATGAATATCAGGATAAACAAGAAAAACAAGGAAAGAAATTATTTCTAGAAATGTGAAACTCTCGTGTTCTCCTGTGCTTATATTAAAGGGATTACACTCCATTTCCTTCTTAATACAGCTAATGCTCTATGGGAAGCCCTCAGGCCAGGGATTAAAGCACTTATTCAATTAATTAGGAACAAACTTCTGCCTTAAAGTCAAACACAAAAATATCAGTAAGCTCTCAAGAGTGTCTTCCTTCCAGAGAAGGGAGAAAGAATCCTTTTCCTGATGTAAATGAAACCAATCTGCACTCTAAAATAATCGAGACTTACATACGTTGAGGAAACTCACTCTTACCTCAGCATCCTGCACAGCACCACAGCACAGGAGGGACTGTCCCATCACCTTTAACTCAGCAGACAAACTCCCATACAGAGAGAACAGAATCAGATCCAGAGACTAATATAAATGAGATACAGTTTCAGGGTATAATACTGGTGCTAGCTCCAAGCTGCAGGCACACCAGTGCTTGGCTACATTTGGTGTCATTAGTGAAATCCTGGCCATGCTAAACTTAAAAAAACCCAAAATGCTTATTCAGTAGGATCCGAATTTTACCTAAGGTGTCTGATTCATTACTGAGATAGGAAACAATTTCCAAAACCTGGCTCCAAATTCTAATCTTCCTTGATGATGGCTCGATCCTTCCGTCTTCTCGCAGGCGCAGTTCACATGAAATTAAAAGGCACATTGCCAGCATAGGTCATGCAGGAGCAGCCCACTATTGCTTCCCATTTCTTCTTCCCTGATACCAAATGGTGGAGCTGATAATTACCAACAGGATCCCAATTAGAAGTGGGTGGGAACCTAATACCCAGCTCTCATCTTCCCCTGCTCTGAGTGAGCATATGTGCTAATTCAGATACGAAGAAAAAGTCAACAAACCATATGCCTTTCTTTTCTTTAGTGTTTTTATGCACTTAGCAACTTCTTTCATAACTTCCTTACAGGCGCCTATGCACTGTAATGCCATTACCTCTCCCATGATACCAAATGCCTGAAATGTTTCCCACGACTCTCGTTACAAAGGAACTGGCAGAAGGATGCTCACACATCACATCCCTCCCTGGCATCCCCACGCACACTGCTCAGCGCACAAGAAGGGGTCAGAAAGAGTGCTAATGCATTGGCACAGGCTGCCAGGGAGGTGGTGGAGTCATCATTCCTGGAGGTGTTCAGGAACTGTGGAGATGCGGCACTGAGGGACATGATTAGAGGGCATGGTAGGTTGGGCTGATGATGGGGCTAGATGATCTCGGAGGTCTTTTCTAACCTTAATGATTCTATGATTTTATGATTCTGTGAATGGGCTGCTTGGCTGGCAGCTGTTTGGCCAGGCAGCTCTCGCTGTGCATTTTCCTCCCCATCTTTTCCCAGCTGAACACTTTCCAAATGTTTTTGAAAGCACCCCTACTCTTGGAGCAGTCCATTGAGAAGGCTTCATTGTACCCCACATGACTGTACCTAACATGCTGGTTCCATAGCAGGCTGCCCATCACAAAGGAAGAAGCTAATACTGATATCAGTGTTGCTTTATAAACACCTGCAGAAGAAATCTTATCTAATAAGATAATTGGCAATACTCCAGAGAGGTGAGATTTCCAGGGCCAGGGGCATAAATCAGGCACCTGAATGGAAGTGCCCCTGTTTCTTCAGGCATTGATCACCTCAAACAACCAGAAAAGTTTCCAGAGGATGTTGGTGCTTTTGACCCCTTCACATCATGCTTTGTGAGTGGGCATAATGAAACCACAGCAAGGCCAATGTGCCAGCTGGGACCAGATTGTCAAAGGCAAATGGTATGTTTTAACAGCATCTGGAGTGAGTTTTCCAGAGACCAAGTGTGTGACAGCAGAGTTCAGGCCCTGACGAGTTTAAATTACAGTCAGTGACCTCAGTGATAAAATAAAGCAATGAGATTTGTGTACCTGATCAGTACAGCTCCTTCTTGGCACACTGCTGGACATTTTCCTGTGCTCAGAGGTAGCTACATACCTCTACAAAGTCAGTCTCATAGCCTCAGTGAGACCCTGGTAGCACAAAGAGAGATTTCACTTCACTTTGGCCCTATCTTCCTCTACCTGCTGTCTTTTTCCACTCCTGAGATGGCAACACTGCTATCTAAGCCTGCATGGCTCTTGTGCGGGGTGCTGGCAAGGTTTGGGTCAACCATCTCAGTTATTATGAATTAACTGCAAGAAAACATGGCCAAGGAGGACATACCTCCTGTCAGCCCAGCTCTTGACAGGTGCTCTTTGGGCTGGCAATAAGATCCATTGCCCCTGTGAGGTTGTTGAAAGAGGGAAGTGCTCGGCAAGCAGGACCCCCATCGTGTGAAAGAGGCAGGGTGTAATCTGCACATCTCCCTTCCCGTTATCACCACCAGGAGATAAAGTGCAAAGGGGAGACTCTTCTTCAAGGGACGAGTGCTGACAGCCCATTCTGTCAGCACGAGGTCAGTCATCCATTTGGGTCTAAAAACATGAACTCTTGTCACAGTGCAGCACGTCCAGCATGACAGGGTTCCCCATAGAGTTTATTTCATGCTTTTCTCCAATTTTCTGCATATTTTGGTGCAGGCATTTATGGCACCAAGTGAAGCAATCAGTGCCCTTCCACCTGCAGCCACACTTGGGCACCTGTAGCTCTCTTCCAGCCACCTAAATCACATCCCTGAAAGTCTCCTTGCAGCTGGTGAACTCAGTGGTCATGTCCCAAGTCTTCAGGCACTTCTGCTGTAGCTTCCTAAAAACAATCCACTGTTTGCTCACACTCTTTCCCCCAACAAGCATCCATCAGCAGAGGACTGCTAAAATCTCATCACTGCCTATGTGTGAGTATTCTGTGTGCCACGATACAAATCAATGCATATTTATGCACCTGTGGGAGGTAAATACATACATGTATTGTTGGAGAACCTAACTCTGCTCACTAATGCTGCTGTTTAAATAGCCCTTTAACCACATCACTTTTCTCCTCGTTAGGTTTAAGTCACTGGGGGTGGAAAAGCCCTTCCAGAATGGTTTTCACTCACTCACTCAGTCCAAAGTAAACATGCCTCTGGGACCATTATATGTATCAGATATCCAAGGCTTTGTTAAGAGCTTGCCTGTTAGTAAATTCTGCTACCCTTTCTCCTTGGAAGGAGAAGGTTGAAATTGGAGTTAGGCTAAAGGAGCAGGGCAGAACAGCCTCGTATGTTACAGAATAGCAGGCCAAATCAGAGCAGAGCTTTGCAAACAAGCCAAGTCTCAGAGAGGCTCCTGATCTAACTCAACAATATTGGCTTGGCTTGTGCCCGCCACCTGCATCACATGTGCCACAGATCTGCTGATCAAGAGTCTGGTGTTTTCACCAGCAATCAGTAGAGCCACCATGGAGAGCTGAGAGCATTGAAAAGCAAACATGAGCCCTTTTCATCAGTCAGTACAAGGGGGCTGTGCATTTGTGGTGTGTCATGGAAAATCCTCAGCACATATGCCTCCATGTCAAGGAGCTTCATAGAATCATAGAATCATTGAGATTGGAAAAGTCCCCTACGATCATCTAGTCCAACTGTCCACCTACCACCAATACTGCCCACTAAACCATGTCTTTAAGTACTATATCTCCATGCTTCTTGAAAACCTACAGGGATGGTGACTCCACCACCTCCCTGGGCAGCCTGTTCCAATGCATTACCCCTCTTTTGGAGAAGAAGTTTTTACTGATATCCAACCTCAGCCTCCCTTGGTGCAACCTGAAGATATTCCCTCTCTTTCTATCAGCTAGATTGTAGCTGTCCGGGCTTTTGTGAGTCCCACGTTGATACACAATCACACCTTAAATGTTTGGCAGGATCACAATCAGTCAAAATCGAGAGCTCACCCAAAAGCAAGTGCAGTGAAGAGGAGCCTCTGCACTGACTGAACCAAGGTCTGGATTGAGTCCACATCCAGGTCTCTTTCCCACTGCATCCATTAGCTGACCCAAACTTGTCAGGGAGAATAAAGCAACCACCTGCTTCCACTGACAGGAGAAGTAAAATGAGATCAAACGTTAGCAGAGGGAGAGAATTTAAGCAATGCGAGAGGTGGCTGCATGTCATTTCAGAAGTCACCTTTTGTCTTTGATCTGTGCTTAGGAAGTGGGCACCTCCTGGATCAGATGGACATTAGAGAAGCGTGCCACCAAACTCACCTCACCTTGAAGTCTCAAGTGTTTGCTTTCCTCAGGGATCCCCCTCCTACTTCCGCCCCTGTGTAAATCATCTGCCCAGAAATTTCCTTCAGAGGAGCCAATTAATGCATATGGGGAGTCATGGCTTCTGTCCTCCTCTAATTCCAAGACTGCTCACAGCCATGAAGCTCTTTTATAAGTGCACTGTGCATGCACAGGTAGGTCCTCCAGAGATCAGACAGAGTTATTATAGAAGCTGTTAGGCTAACAGAAAACCCTGAAGTGCTTACCCTCCAAACACACCAGACAGATAAAGGACTTTGTCTTGAAGGATTTTAAAGACAAAGCACTCACAGACAAAGCAAATCTGTGGATAAATCCCGCTTTGCTCAATGCTCCCTCCTGCTCTTAGCATCTCTTTGGAGCACTGCCTGCTTATTGCTAACAAAGCACTTGTTTCAGCAGCACACACTGGGAAAAGAAAACATAATGCAGTTTTAATGTGGCAAGCACATGCAGCTACCCTCTAAAAGCAGAGATTTATAGCAGGTGTGCATTCAAATAATTGCACACTCTGGGCATTCAATAGCCACATTACTGCAGCGAGCTCAGTTTGTTGATACCTTTAGTGTATTTAACAAGAGGCAAAATCACGAGGAAGTGAGAGCCTGCTCTCAGGTTACCCATAAATTGGTTAAGGCTGCAGAGAGGATTATGAGCCCAGAGCCATCCTAAGTACCGAGATGTCATTACGGCGAAATCAAAGGTAACTGTGGGGCTTGGCAGGTAACTGTCAACAGTGACGGGAAAGAGCCGGCCCGGGAAGGAGCTCCACACCAGGATGAAATCCAGCCACCTCTATTTTCATTTCAGGTGAGGGGTCAAGCAGAAAAGCTATCCCCAGCGGCCTTTATTTACAGTTTTCAGGGGAGCGGCTGATGAAGCGTTTAGAGGAAGAAGGATGAAGTTGCTCATCCCTCGCTCCCAGGGACCAGCGCGATGACAGACAGAAGATGCTGTAATGGCATGAGAGCTGGGAAGGTGCCTCCTGGGAATGAAATGCAGGCAGTGCCCCTACTGAGTGATTAACAAAATTCCCAGCCGCTTGAACAGGGCCAAAAGGTTTTCCCATCAGGACATTTACTTTCTGCAGCATAGGAGCATATGCCCAGGA